GAGGGACCCGGGGCGGCAGGGTTTCCCCGGCTTGGCGGGGAGTCAGTGCTGCGCTGGGGTGCGCCAGGCCGTGTGCGGCTTGAGTAGGGAGCCATAGCTGGGTACGCTTACGGTGGGAGCTCGCCCGGGTAATTATGGCTCTATAAACGCTGCTCTTGCAAGTTTTGTGGCATCCAAGAGTTCAAATTTCTGAGTGAGCTTAGAATTCTGTAAATTTCAGAGTGCTACCAAACTAGTTTTTCTCTTAAAGCACCTGTTGGAATGTTTATTAATCTGAAAGAGATGCGCTTGAAACAGACTTCCTTTTATTGCAAATTGGATCGTAGCGGGGCAGGGTAGAAACTCCCTGTCGCTCAGGTGGTCTCAGTCTTTATGGTAGCGTGCATAGGTTGTGTGCAGCTCACCAGCTAGTCTGTCGGATCGCCTTGTCTAGTATAAAAGGTGATCTGTTAGGGCTGCATTGAGGCCTGGTGACAGCAGGAGCAAGTAAGATGCCTCAGTGAACCGGCTCGAGGCAGTGAGGCCTGCGTACGCATTGTGTTAAGAGTTTGCATTGGTCGTCGCGCGTTACTTTAAAGACCACTTTCTTCATAACAGCTAAAAGAGAGTTTTTTTTCCTCTTCATTTAGAGCAAAGAAGGTGCCATCCATACCGGAAAGCCTGCTGAAAAAGCGGCAGGCTTATGCAGCCGTAAAAGCCAAACGTCAGAAGAGGATGTTGGCTATAAAAAAGGTGAATATTTCATGACTCCTTGACTTGAATTGTTTATCTGTTGCAATATCAGCTACTACTGCTGATGTAACACAATACAGAAGTTCACAGTATTTAGGTCTAGCACGTTCATATTTTCTTAATGTTTTGGACTCAAATATGCTGCTTTTGTTTGGGGGGGGGGTGTCAGTAACAAACCAGTTCTGGGCAGAGTAAGGGCAAAGCGTACGGTTGTCTATAAGATTAGTTAGTCTTCTGCAAGGCAAGAGGTTACAGCCTTTGTGAGGGTAAGCTTGATGCATGGTAACATTGTTCAAGGTAAAGCAGCGCTGCAGTGTAACAGTCTTCCAGATTCTCTAGCACATTACTGAGAGTGATTCTAAACCCCGTGGTATGGGCAGATGTTCCTTTAATCTGTGTTATTTCTGGGAAGTTCTAGAATATGCTACATTATTTGAAGGTGGTTTTCATGTGTTAAAAGGCGTTATATAATACTAAGTAACTTTCAATTGATTTCAGTACCGTAAGGCACAAAGGCGACTCATCTATGCAAGAGCCCAAGCTTACCACAAGGAGTACAGGCACATGTATAGGCAGGAGATCCGTATGGCCAGGATGGCCCGGAAAGCTGGTAATTACTACGTTCCAGCGGAACCGAAACTGGCGTTTGTGATCAGGATAAGAGGGTAAGATTGAATACAGATGTAAGCAATTTTATGTTCAAAAGCACCGAAATTGGCTTTCCTGTTATCTGTTTTGAGGGCTTAATTATGTAAATAAAATCAAGCCTTCTGCTGGTGGCTTGGAACGTTGTTGACAGTAATGTTGTACATGCACCAGAGGCTTATTAAGTGCAAAATCATTATGCTGGCTATGTCTCCTCTCTTCAGGAATCCCTGGTTTTTAAGAAGGTGGCAAGGCTACAAATACGTGCAGACAGTTTTTCTGTTTCACCTTAATCTCAAAATTACATGCCAGTATTCCCTAACATTCTGCTAAGTTTTGTTTGAAGTGTTTGTTTAACTCTCCTTTGGTAAAGTGTTATAGAAAACTAACAAAAGGTGTGATTGGAAGAATTATGTTCAGGAGAGCACAAGGATAGTTCTAAATTGTTTCATTGTAATGCTTATTTTAATTCTTTTCATGGAAATAGACCTGTTTTAATAGTGAAATATATAGAGATAGTAGATAATTTACTGAGCTAGTTTTGTGTAATTGGCAAAATAGTGATGCATTTCATATGGGAATGATATTATTGTCGTTGTTTTTTTTTAACCTGATACTTAGTGTTTTCTGGGATGTAGATAATTGAGGCTTTTTTCCGATGTTCTGTAGTACCAATGGTGTCAGCCCTAAGGTCCGCAAGGTGTTGCAGCTTCTTCGCCTGCGTCAGATTTTTAATGGCACGTTTGTAAAACTCAACAAAGCTTCTATCAACATGTTGCGGATTGTTGAACCCTATATTGCGTGGGGGTGAGTGAAATGGCTAGTTTTATCAAATCAGGGTGCAAATGTTGAGTGCCTTCTGCATTTTGCTATGCTTGATTTGCAGGTTTCCCTTGTGTTTAAAATGTTCTTATATCTTCTGTGTGCTTCCCCTGCTTTGAATTGAAAACATGATGAAGGCAGTGCTTTAAAAGGCAATGTTTGTTAGATACGATTACACTCTCATACCAGTGTTGTTGGGAACTCTGTATGAGTAAGATTTGCTTCTCTGTTGCTTTTGTATTTACAATTGCGACACGCTGAAATGATCTTAAATTGTTTGTTATGGAAGTTTCATTCGGGGATGTTAGCTTGGAAGGTGGCTTGCACAGACTAGTAACTTTTTTTTTTCCCCTTGACTGTTTCAGTTATCCCAATCTGAAGTCTGTGCATGAATTGATCTACAAGCGCGGTTATGGCAAGATCAACAAGCAACGCATTGCTCTCACTGATAATTTCCTGATTCAGAAACGCCTTGGTAAATACTGCTTCACTAAACAAAACAAGAAACCAGCTTGTTGCCTTTGGATGATTAATGCTAAGCTGGACAACTATCCTTACTTGTTTCTGGAGAATAGTAGTGATTGGTTAATAATCTCTACTTCTGTCTTAATAGCTTAACACAAAGCAAGCTGGAAGTAACTTGTGTTATAAAGTATTGAAAACCAGTGTAAAGAATCGAATTTTAGCATTAAGTTTGTAATTTTAAATGTAAACTTGACCTTTAATAGGTCAGTAGGTCTTTCAGTAATGAAAAGGTGCCGTGGCAGGAAAGAAGTTTATCATACGTAGCTGTGAAGTTTCAAATTTAATATTGCTTGTGTCTTAGACCTTCATGGTCTGGTAACAGACTTCTCAAACTTCCTGTCAGAAGAACTGGCTAGTAAAAGCCATTAGTGTACGTATGGTGGTCAGTTGTCAGGAAATAGACTGCTCTAGGAGGCTCCTCCTTTTCCAGTCATGCCAGGAGCGAAAGGAAACACTGATGTCTCTCCCATTTTTGGCACTTGATTGGTGTATCACTTCAAATTTGACTGTGTCATGTTTGTTCCTTTTCCAGGGCAATAGATAATCAGATTCTGAAGGTACAAGTATTATACTATAATCACTTTCCTTTTTAGCGTTGTATTTTACGAGCAGTTACCCTGTAACATGTCACTGAAGACTCTGGAAAGGCATTAAGAAAACACGCTGTTGCATTATTCAACAGCATAAGTAGTTCAGTGAATTTCCTCAAGCTACACATAACTAGGGTTTAAGTGTATTTAATCTAGCTTTTCTTCAAAGAACACAGTCTATTTTCGTAAGATTCCCTAAGTGGGGTTTGTTTTCTGTTGTTCCTCATTGCTGGCTACAAATATTCAACAGTTGAAACTGCCTCTTGCCAGATGTAACAACTAAATAATGTTGAGTTGGCTGCAGCTAATCCATGTTAATTGGAAAAGTCAGTCATTGGGTGTCATGACAGAGTGGGTGCTTTCTGACTTCCTGAAGTTGATCAGAAAAAGTAGGTATGACAATAATAACTTGATGATTTTTAGCTTGTCGTTGACTAGTGGCTCTGTAGCCCTTCTGAAAACAACGTTTCTGAATTTTAGGAAAGTTTGGCATCATCTGCATGGAAGATGTGATCCATGAAATTTATACTGTTGGCAAGAACTTCAAAGTCGTGAACAACTTCCTTTGGCCCTTCAAATTGTCCTCTCCTCGGGGTGGAATGAAGAAGAAAACGATCCACTTCGTGGAAGGTGGGGATGCTGGTAACAGAGAAGATCAGATCAACAGACTCATAAGGAGAATGAACTAATGGTGAGATATTACCAAAGGTTAATGCTACTCACTGTTCTTTCTCTGCTGTGTAGGCAGCTGCCGTTATTGGTTGAACGTTCAGGTCTAATATATATTCGCTCATGCTTGGGTGGTACCTACGATATAAAGCTACTTGGGCAATACAGTGTTCTGATTTTATGTTTAAAGTCTGGCTAAAGCTTAAACATTTGTGAAGAAATTAAATCGTTACAGCTGATATGTTTAGGAAGTATAAACATTACCAATAACTTACTTTTCATTTACCAATAACTTGTTTTAAAACCTCATTTGGGTTTTATGATGGGGAGCCTTGAGATCTGGGCTAAAATTTTCAGCCCTCATTAATGAATTCTTAATATGATCAAAGTCTTTGTGGTTGCAAGCAGTGTTTTTTTCAGATTGTCTGATTTCTGCTATAAAAGGCTGTTTAGGACTGGGAGAAATTAAATTATCAGTTTAGAATTTTAATGGTCTAAATTTTCAGCTTGTTCAGGCTTCAAAATGATTCAATTTAAGCTTTCATGTTAACATGACCAAGATGGTGATTTTGAAAGACTAATTTGCCCATTTGAATAGTCTGTCCTTTAGAAATGGGAAGGTTTATTAACACTTAAAGCAGTTTGACAGTGACAGCTGAGTCCTGAAGTTAGTATCTAGTTCAAACAATCTGTCTTACCATCTATCATTGTCACTCTGTTGTTCCTGCTTTGATGAGAAGTCTCTGCCATTCAAAGCCAAAACTTTTTTCGGAGTTCTCGTACTTCCCATTGCTTTTTCCACCTTTTTAAACACTAAAGTAGCTTTGGTGTTGCCCATATCTTATTTTCAGTCAAGGACAAATGCCTTTTTGGTATGACAGATACGCTGGAATTTAAGAAAACTTCGTTGTGTTAGGATGCTTGGAAAGAGTAACAGGCAAAGACCCAATTTTACCCAAACTGATTCCTCCAAAGGCAAGAAGGGTTTTTTGGTTGGTTGGTTTGTTTTTTGGTTTGGGTTTGGTTCGTTTGGGGTTTTTTTTGTTTGTTTTTTTCTTTAGTTTGTTTTTTTTAGAAATCGGATGCACAGTTTACTTAGGAATTCGAATTCCTAAGTTCCAGAGGGTCAGTTAATAAAAAAATAGTAGTAGTGATGTGACTTTATAGCTTAAAACAGGTGTTTGGATGAGTTCTCAGAAATCAAATTTTCTGAAGGAGGGGAAGTAGTTTGGGAGTTTAAGCCTTTTAAAAACGTTTTTATAGCTCACAAGGCATAGCAAGTTGAGCTCATTGAGGTCTGCTGTCTGTCCCAAGTCAAATGGAAAGATATTTCATAGGACTGACAGCTTTTTTTTCTTGAAGCTTTTTTGTAGGCTTTTCTCAGTTTCCACTCCCCCAAGCTTTTTGCATGTTCCTTTGTTGTCTCCATCTGTGAAGCAGCAGAGTTTTAAAGCACTGGTTACATGGCACGTGGAAACTTGCGCTTTGGGAAAATAGTTGCTTACTGGGGACAGTGTTCTTGTAAAGCTTTTTAGCTCAACTATGGGAAGAAGTGGGTAGCTTTGAGTAGCAGAATTGCTGTGCTGTTTGGTGCCTGGGGTGATGTTACGTTACTCATACTAGTATTGTAGAAATTTTGCTGCTGGTGGCACAAACTCTTACAAGTTCAGTACTGGCAGATGTTTCCCTTAAGTTAGTGCATGAGGCTTCATAGTCAAGATTGAGCAAAACTACTTTTGCTTTATGCTCCTGTCTGGTTTCTGAGTGCAAGATGGAAACTGCTATTTTTAATTGAAACCTTGCAGTTTTTCTGTCAGTGTAGATCCTTTCTCCTCCATCTTCACTGACAAACATCAGAAGTACACTGGTCGTGTTGAGTTTTCAGGAGCCTTCCTACAGGAGGGAAGCTTCAGGTTCACTATTGCAGTGGCTGTAAATGCCTGCGAGGAGTAGTATATCGGCAGAGAAACTAGGGTTATTCAGCTCGTTGCTTGGGTTTTTCATTGGACTTCTACCTCAACATCCCATGTAAGTAGCAGACATCAGGGCTTTACTCCATCTTCCAATTTAGGAAGTGACCTTGCAGTTTCTTATGCTTATAAGCAGTTAGTTCTTCTGCTTGGACTGCAAACAATCGTACCTCTGGTGTAAAGCTAAGATAACTGATTGTTCTCGTCTCCTGCACTTTCTATTCCTGCTATTTTCCTACTGTTCTGAATAGAATGCATGTTTGAAATACCTACATGTAGAACATAGAAGAATGTTGTAGTTTCTACTGAAGTAATGGGCAACTAGAGCAGTAGGTTCAGATGAGATATTGGCAGTACTCTGAGTACTGTCATTCTGAAGGGCCATGTATCTGAAGATGAGTATTTATTCTTCTTCCCTATATGTAGCTGGTTTCCTGTTATTTGCCTTATTACTTAAGTGGTAGTCTCAAATAGACTTAAAAAAACAAACAAAGACTTCACATACCAATTCCTTCATATAGATTGGGGAAAAAGAGCATAGTACTTGATACCAAATTTTGATAATTCAGTATTGGCAAGATGCTGAATTTCATTAGCTCTCAAGAAAACTTTACAGGAACCGGTCTCAAGTCTGCTTTTTTGCTTTCATTTTTGTATGTAAACGGTCCCTGAAATGTGCTGAAAATAGGGTTACTGCAGCAAAAGTTAAAATGTCTTTAAATATCAAGTTCCCCCCTGCTATGCTTTTAGACAAATAGGAAAATAGGTACCAACAGTTCAAGGTAGGAATGTTTATCCTGTTAGTTCTGGCACTTGACATCTGTGTTGTGAGTGAAAAGGTGTTAATACAGAAGTTAGTTATTGTGTGCAAGACTATTGAAGTCTTAAATCCAGTGAAATAAAATTAGTATTTTTAGCCCAAGTGATAAACTGTAGAAATGTATTAATTCTTCGGGTGGCCAAAGTAGTTTCAGATCTACACATGTCTAATGATACTTCTTTTTTCCCCTTTCAGATTCAGATGCCCAGCTGCAATCTTTCAAACTCTGGTCTATTAATAAAACCATCTTGCACAAAACTGTGTGTCATCTCAATTGGTCTCTTTCTGTGATCCTCTTCTCTAGTGGTGGCGGTTGCTAAGTTAACTTTGGAGTAACCTGTTTCAAAGACCCATGTACAGTTTGAATTAGCAGTATATAGATAATACTGTTTCACCTTCATTTGGAGGAAGAAAATTTGGAAGGATTCATGCAGGTAACAGATTAGTTTTTGAGTGGCGACAGTTATTTATTTTTTGTTGTGATTAAAAGTACAGTAAATGACAAACTGAGCTGTATGCTGTTGAGTAGACAGGATTCTTACTTAGTTGTAGTGCACCAAAGCTGTGCAAGAAGATTTTTACGTGTAAAGAAGAGGCAAGGGTAAATCGGTTCTTAACGTGTCAAGATCCTGATTTTAAGATCATAATAATTACTTCCGGCTCTGAACATCTTCAGGTACTTTTTACCAAAGGAAACATGAAATAGTTTACAAAATAGCAAATTATTTTCCACATTCTAGATAATTACTCATCTTTACATAATTTGTTTGCAGTGTTTTATTTCAGGTACTATAGAAGTGGAGACCACAGGATTCGTGAGGGTATGAACAGTTGTTGCTAATGTGTAGGTCTAGCAGAGTACAGATCAGAAACCCAGGGACTGGTAAAATGCATAGCTCGGCTTGCATTCAAACTGACTTCTCGTCTCGCGAGCACTTCACTGAAGGAGCCTTAGCCTGCCGAGGCATTTGGTACAACAGATCAACAAGTCACGTCAGCTCTGACTGAAATGCTTTTCTCAGTTACAGGCAAGCTGTATTTACATACTTCACACCAGTGAAGGATGTCAATTTAAAAATCACTGGCAGTGATTATTTTTTTTCCAATCTGTGCAAAAGCTTATTTCTGCACTTGAGTTTAAATGAAACTTTTGAACAGCAATGCTAGTTTATTAAAGCTTGTCAAAAGCTAGTTTTGTTTTTAAATAACTCAGGAAATTATTATAGTGGCTTAACTGAAAATAGTTGTGTGCTTTTGTTAATGTGTTAGGACATTGGCAAAAGAGCTGAGTGTCAGATGGGTCAGTGTTTCCAGATACTTGAACAACTGAGTTCTAAAACCTGAAGTGACAATTCCCCTATTGCGAGTCGAGCTCCAAAATCTAGTAACGCAGCTTCTTGTCTCTAAATACGAAAGTACCAGCACCTTTGTCCATTAAGCTAATAACTGCGCTAAATCAGAAGAACTTGGCAGTTCCTTACAGCTGTTCAGTGCAAGTAAGTAGACGGCCGATACACGCTTGAAAAGGGTTTTATGAGTGAATGAGGTGAAAACCATGAAAGTACTTCATTTGTTAGGCGTCTTGGTAAAGTGATAAGCAGTATGATTTACAAGGAAAAAAACATCTTCATAAAGTTGCTGGGTGAAGGGAAAAGATCTTATGGTGAAAATTACAATAGTTGCTTTGCACTATTAATGGGAAACCTCAGTTCTCGTCTTGATCTTGTAAGAGAACAATCTGACTCCTTTCAGCTTAAAACTGCACCAATAGGCAATGAAATTCAGCTAGCGGGGGGACGTACCTGAGAAGTTTTGTTGACTTCAGTATCCTTGTTTGTTTGTTTCAATTGGTAGAGTTCTTCCATTACTTTGCTGCAAGGTTTTCAGTTATTTCCCTTTGACTTGTACACGTGTTCTAGTGTATTCTTAACAGAAAAACATTTCGTGGCTATAAAGAAGCCATACAAATGGATAGCAAGCTTTGTGTGATGGGTGTAGAGAACAAAAGATTAACTCATGAAGTTAATCAGTGCTGTAGGACCCTGTTTGTCTGATAAAGCCCTGTAGGTCCCAAACTTTGTTTAAAGGAATACATGTGCTGAAGTGTTAGTGAGGAGAAAGTTAATTTGGTTTTCATCGTGCTCGAGCAACTCATTTTTCTTACCTGCCTCTGAAATGCACTTTCAGATAACAGCTGCAAAACGTTAATACATAGTGTGGGAACTAATATTAAAGTGTAGCTGTGTCTAAGCTGGTAATCCTGCGTGGTTGGTCACCTTTTAACACACTAGCATAGCTTTCCAGATTTTTAGTATTGCTCTTCAGGCATGTCCCATAGTAGGCAATTACAGAAATAGCTTGTGATCTGATAGTTAAGGTCAGAATTTGCACTGGAAATGAGGCACAATCTACTTAACTCGATGCATGAATAGTACGTTTTGGAGCATTTATGAGGTAATTTGAGTTTAAAATGTAGCTGATGAAGACGATCACTTGGTCCCTAAACAAATAATGCAGATCCTTTGTCAACATTCTATGACAAAGTTTAGGTTCTTGCGAACATGCTGTTTTTTTCTCACTGTCCATAACTGCCAGCTGCTGACACATTCCAGAGCAAAATTTCTATTAACTCTTACCGTCTTTCAGAATGACCAACATCTTCCTCTTTTTCCTCAGAACTGAAGCCAGAAGCTTTACCTAATAGCTATTGGAGAAGCAACAGGAGACCGTTTGAAACGCTAACAACTCACGAGTTTTTCAGGCGTGCTGAGGTTTATGTGCTTTACAGTTAATTGGTATTGCCTTCTTTGCTGGTGTCCAGCTCATACAGCCTGTTTCACTATCGCCAAGTGTAAAGTCATACATCTGGAAATGGAATGGGAGCCTATCCCAAGAATCAGTGTTTTGAGAGAAAGTTAGGAGGCGTGATGGATAGTCAGCTGAACGTAAGCTCCCACTTGGCCAAATGCAATTCTTGGATGCATTAAAAAGGGGATATCAAATGGAATGGGGGAGGTAATACTACTTTTGTTCCAGTAGTGCTTATGCTAGTGCCAAATGCAGTATCCAGTTCTTGTGCCAAAAATCAAGCACATGCCTTGTAATACTCAGAGAGCTTACTTTAAAGGCAGACATGGTTACGAAATGAGTATCTACCTATAATTACCTCCATGGAGAAAAGTAGTTTGATAATAGAGAATTCTTTGATCTAACGAAGCTATAATAGGATGAAATGTCTTGAAACTGAAGCCAGATAAATTTTGGCTTTAAGCAAACAATTTTAATGGAACATAATTAGACACTGGAACACTTAACCAGCGGTGTGCCAGATTCTTTGTCAGTGGTCATTTCTAAATTGAGGTTTGGGTTTTTTTCTTCCTTTAAAACATATGCTGTACTTCTAAGAGATTTGTTGAGGGCAGTCTTGGAGCCTCTATCGCTCGGAAGAGGCTTCAGCAGAAGTTACTAAATGCAGGCTCTTCAGGTACTCAAGGGATACAAGTTACAGCCTTGTTTTAAGATGTCTGACTACCCAGAGTGAAATTCAGAATGGCGGTGGTGGGTGTTAGGTGCTTCACAAGGCAACTTGGACTAATGCAGCATGAAAAGTGGCAAGTCACCTAAACCTTGGCATAAATGGCGCTCAGGAGAGGGATAGCGGCACTTCACGTACCTCTTACGGGCTTTGCTGCTTCTGCCCCTTTGGAATCCAGATCTCGCAGCTCTTTCCTGAGGGCAGGGCCCCATGTGTTTTTTAGAGAATTAAGCAGGGCGTTACTGTCAGTTCTGAGTCCCTAGCAAGCAAAGTGGTGTCCCTGCTTCACACAACAACTGCTTTGCTCATGCTTAGGAAACTAGATGCATGGGTTTTGTTCAAACCATTCCTTCCATCTCCCAGGTTCTAGAAGACTGTCCTTTCCACAGAACTGTAGGTGAGAAAACCTCTGCATGTTGCTCCTTATTGAAGATGTGCTAAAGTCTAAGGCAGGGAAAAGATCCTGATTTTAGCTTAGATTAGGAAACTGCAGAGCAGACAGAGGTACGAATCTGAAAACAGTCGAGCTTAGAAGGGAACAAAATTTTAGTCTCCCAAATCCCAGGCAAAATGTTCTGCTCAACTAGTATCATTAGGTGTAAGTTGTAGTGGGAATTTTTTGGTCTTCAGGGATCTTTAACGTGATTGTACCAGTTCTCTTTTGTGAAGTTCCCATTCTTGGCATACTTGTTTTTTCTAAAAGCTTTTGCACCATACCAGGCTACTCCAGGCATCTAGGATCCCAGAAATATCTTTGCCCTGCATAAATACAGGTTTAGATGTAAGTAGGCTCTTACATGGTGCAGTTTTACATGACTGAAAAGTCTGAAAAATCAAGTTGTACTGAGCTCATGAATTGCAAGTGCTAAGAAAGAACAAGGATGTTCAGAAACAATTTTCTACACAAAGCTTCCATCATTTTTCAGTCTGTCTGTAGGTGATCACACTAGCCATTTCTAGCCTGATCCGTGAAAATGAGTACTTGTGACCTTGGTCATATTGCAAATAAGAGCAAATTTTCAAAGTTCAGAGCTGTAAGCAATTTTCTCTGAATTATTTTTCTAAAGATAAAAAACCTCCACAAAAGCAGTTTTTTATCTACTATGTAATTCTTCATATAAACTACTCATTGCACCAAATATCTTTCGTTATGAAATAAGCAGGTACTTGGAGGGAAAACAATGAGAAACAAGGGAGTGTACAGTCACAGGGCCCTGGGGTGTACATGGGGAAGAAGCCACATGCAAAGTAAAATCTAGGGTAGAGGGGGAAAAGGGAGCAGAGGGAGGTGTAAGCAGCAGTATTACTCTTCGCTTGCTCAGCACTGTTTTGGCAGTGCAGAGTGGCTGTAAATCCAGTTTAACTAGCCAGCATGCCACATGCTTTACATGCTTCCCATCCTGAGTTGCTCTGGTGGTCAGAGGCGTTCTGTACAACTTAACTAGTCTTTGGAGTCTGCCTGGAGCGCTGGCCGTCTCGTGGTGAATGTGTGCTGCCCAGGCCCTGCGGTGGTGTCGTGAAGCTCTACCCATGGCATGTTTCCACTCCTACTGCACTTTGTTAGGAGCTATGCAAGGATTACCACACTCTGCCATGTCTGATGGCATCTGTTATCCACAATATTATGCTCTTCTTTTTTATTGCACAATAAAATTAAATTGAAGTTTTCGAGTCTTGATCACTCTGAATATCTCGTGTATAGAATACCACGGTAGTACTTAAT